GAATTTGATTTATGTTTTTTATTATATTTTACATTCTCCCCTCCCTAATTTTTGTGTTTTACTGGCTAAATATCTAAAAACAACACCATATCTTTGCATACAGCAACCTTCGGTCAATTGGTACTGTATATTAGATATTCTTGGTCAGTTTATTGCTTTAAACTACTGTGAATTTATCTCATTGGATAAATGTGTACCATCTAGGGAGGGGAAAATCTTTCTTTGCATGATTATGTTTCAATTGAAGTTGCTAATTCTTTTATCCCCCCTTTCATGCTTTTATTAGGAAGCTTTAACAGCAGTGATTCTCATGTCCATATTGTGAGAACTTTACATATTGATTTTACTCTAAAAGAGTAGGAGCAGGAAATATTATTTTCTAATCAGTGGTAACTCTACTCTTGGGCTGTGGTACCCATACCCACAATTGGGATTCTACACAGATTTCCAGGAACAACTTGGAACATAATGTCATTGTCATTTGAAAAAAAATTATACAGAACCAGTGTGTGATTTCCATGGATCTTGGATAGAAAACAAAAACAAAGCAGCACAATTCTCAGAAGAGGCTATAAGTGTGTTTTTGTACACACTGACTTTTCCCATTTTATATATTGTAATGGTTTTCTGCCTTCAAACCGGTGGAAGGCGATTCTTCTTGTTTACTTTGTTTTGTGCGCATAAATTGGATAATTCACTGACACAAAGATGAAACTGAGCTAGCAAACTTGTTCACCCAACAGCGTTCAGCGTTCCTGAATTTTTGTATTTCACCTTCTGGTTTCAGTGTACATGACCTTTTATATGCTTGACATTAAATCCAGACAAAATGTTTCATAACTGTGAAATTTAATAGGACAAAAAAGATCTCTCCCCCCCACACACATACTGTGAACAGGATTTCACAACAAATGCATCCCTTGTAGAACATTTACCTAATGCTGCTGATTACACATTTGCTGACATTGAGTTCCAATCCTAATATTCCTGGGAGTAATTTGCATGAAACCCAGCCTGGCTTACTAATAGTGGCTGCATCTAAATCCCACAGAATTTTGCATAGTTTATTTTGAAATGATCATGCAAAATTTATTTGAACATCCAGATGGTTTGCTTGTACTTAATTTACAAACATCAAATGTCAGGTTTTGGAACTAAGTAGGCTTTATTAAGTATGCATCAAACTATTCATATATAAACGAGAGAAGGAGATGTATATAAGCAGTAGATAGTATATTCTGGAGTTACTTGCTCTCTGTTTCAGCACTGAAACTTGCAACATCTATCAGGCTATAAAAATTGTATTATTTTTATTTTTAAAAAGTCATGGAATGAAAAAACTGGGTATCAGTTGCATATGTATTATATCTACATACACACAAACATACAAATAAGGAAGTGATACTCAGCTATACATAGAGAAATGATGCATATATAAGTGATGCATATATAGAAGTGAGCCTGTAATCCTTATTTCAGGATAGAATTGGAATATAGGAAGGTGTGGTGGCCTAGTGGTGAAGATGCTCACCTCCCACTCGGAAGGTTGAGAATTCAATCCTAGGTAGCCTAAGAGCGCAAAGAGAAAATATACGCTGTGACTCCCTGTAGGCATCAGAAAGGGCATCCAGCTAGTAAATGCTCAGCTCCATCCAGTCGTCCCAACTCTACCCTGAATTAAGGGATTACAAAGTAGTGAAAGAGGGTTATATAATATTTCTTAACTGTCCATCTCCCCCAGAAAGGGGCTCATCGTTATATATATAGATGAGCTCACTGTTCATATTTTTACACTCCAGGTTGCTATTTAAAAACATGCTGATTTGTTTCTTCCTGTTATAAAGAAAGAAAGAAGCTTCAAAGGGCATTCAGATCAGGCAAAATAATTAAAGAGGGAGACTTCTGTGTGCATTTGTATATGACAAAGAAATTTATTATTACACAAATGGATCTATGAAGCCATATATTTATCTAGAAGAATCACTAAATAACCAAGCTTTTTGTAATGCAGACTTTCCGCATATAACATAAACTTTGGTCTACTTGACAGATTCAGCTTTCCTTCAGAGAGAATTTAAGTTTTGAAAAATTACAGCTATCAAATTGAAGATTATGAAAGACCTCTGTATTTTTTTCCCCCTCCCTGAATGTGAAGAGCAGCGTAGATGGCAAACATCAAACAAACATGCAAGGAAAATTTGTTCATGTTCTCAGTTGCATTTGGGAATCTAGGCAAATGATGAGAACTCACACTCTTTCCAAAGCCTGCAGAAGCCATAGTGTGTGTGGGGGGGTCTACAGGCACATTACAGATAGTCCTTGACTTATGACTGCAATTGAGACTGGAACTTCCAATGCTAAGCCATGCGGTTATTAAGTGAGCCCAATTTTATGACCTTTTTTGCAGCAGTCGTTAATCAATCCCGCTTCCCCATTGACTTTTTTTTTGGGGGGGGGGAAAAGCTCCCTGGGAAAGTCGCAAATGCTATGTGAGTCCACTCCACACTGCAACCATTGCAGATACATGCCAGTTGCCAAATGCCTGAATTTTGACAACAGTTATAAGTGTGAGGACCAGTTGTGAATCATTTTTTCGGTACTTTTGTAATTTCAAGTGGTCATTAAATAAATGATCCTAAGTCAAGGACTATCTGTATGGTTTGGTGAAGTCACATAGTAGGAGGAAGTATATTATTTTGTATTTTCTCTCTTTGTGCTTCAAGGTTTTATACAAAGAAGGGGAATAATATGCATCTCTCCCTGGAGAACAATACCAAAATTGCGAGAAATTGACATTCAAGATTTTTTATATTATTATTACAATATTTTACTGTTTTATTTTTGATTGGTTTTTATTTTATGCTAAAGCATAACAGACATAGGAAAGGGCTATAAAATGTAACAAATATTAGGCCTGTGCAAATAGGGTCTAATAATATGATCAATCCAATCTGAATTGTTGAATCAGTCTAAACAATGCAGTGAAGTTTCAAGTCTGAAAGGATGAATCGGGTCAGTTGGATTCAGAAAACTGATTGTTCATGTGCAGAAAACTTTTTTATCCCCCAAATCAGATTGGATTATTGGATTCAATCTGAATCAAGTTCATAGACTGAATCTCAAAAAGTTTGCTAATTTGAATTGATGAAATGAAAATTTGGACAGTCTTAATAAATACAATAACTCACATTGCTTTTCTCTGTACTTTTTACCAGACTGCAGACTTATACTACTTTTCAAATCAGCTTAGCACCAATTGTTTACTATTAAATCAGGATAATCAGTGCGTTCAGGTAGTCCTCAACTTACAACAGGTCATTTAGTGACTGTCCGAAGTTACACTGGGACTGAAAAAAGTGACTTATGACCATTTTTCACACTTATGATCATTGCAACACCCCCAAAGTCATGGATGCTTAGCAACTGATTCATATTTATGATGGTCATGGTGTCCTGGGGTCATGCGATCCCCCTTTCGTGACCTTCTGACAAACAAAGTCAGTGAGAAACCAAACAATTGTGTTACTAACTTAACTACTGCAGTGATTGTTGGGGCAAATTCATTTAACAACTATCTCGCTTAACAACAGAAATTTTGGGCTCAATTGTGATCATAAGTCGAGGACTACCTGTACTTCTGGATACTGACATGGCTACAATTGCACCTCTTGGTCCCTGTTAAGCTGCCTATTTCACTTGATTCCCCCTCCAACTTTAAAAAAGGCATACTTTAATAAAACAAATTTAATAGAAGATGAACATGCTGCAAAGCAAAACACCAGGCTCTAGCATAATAATTACTTATAGCAATACCTTTGGGTTCAACAAGAACCTAAGTGCTAATTTCCTTCTAGTAAATTGATACATGGGATTCTCCATCCTTTTCACAGCAGCCATTTTATAGAAAGGTCAAATCTCTCATGGCAGCCATTTTGTGAATGTGCCTACCACATGCTATCACTCTTTGCCCACAGCCCAAAAATGTTGCCTAATCTAATCCTAGATTAGGGGATCTCAAAGTAAAGAAAATGAAAAAGAGAAGAAGAAATATGTTTTGGAGTTTAGCCTAAGGGTTATAAATTGGGTTTTTTGAGTGTATTGGGGGCATATTTAACCAGTCTCATCCTGGTGAAATCTGGAGGTGAAAACATTTGTTTAAATTTGTTGGGCTGGCAACAGCTTTGCAAACACAATTCAGCCTTGCCTGTTGAGAATAACTTTCTAAGAACTATGATCTGATGAGAGACACCGCCTGGAGATAGCAGGGACTAAATGTCACATAGGATATTATGTCTATCACTGACTTTTGGACTCTCTTAATAACCTAACATCTCTCCCCCCACTAAAAAGGATAATATTATTGTTCCTATTGATCCATAGGCTCTAGGCAGCAATCTCCAAAATAGGCTTCATATTTCACCAGCAATTCACAGTGAGGGGTGGGGATGTGAACAAAAGGCTCTTGAATTCATAAGGTTATTAAAATTAAGCAAGGGAATCCTATTATTGAAAACTGGGCACTGAAACATCAGTTTGAAGTGACTCTTGCTGTTGTGCTCAGACAAAAGGGGGATATAGTTGCTTCAAATACTATAAGCAAACTCAATTTCATTGGGAATCATTAGAATGAAACGTCCCACATGCTTTGCTTTTTCTATTGAAGGCTTTAGAGGGCTAAGTTTGCTAAATAGGAAATGTGGTATCAACAGCAAGTAAGAGGACTCTTTGTCTTTAAGAGCACATGACTGGGAAAAATGCAATGTGTAAAGGTTTTTTTTTTTTTCATCATGGAAACAAGCTAATGGAAGCAGCTGTCTATGCAAAATTTGTCCCATCATGCAACAGTTACAGACAGAGAAGCTAAGGTCTGGAAAGGAATTGGCATTTTGGAAGGTAATATTTTCTTTAAATAAAGCAGAAGTGCTTTAAGAGCCCTCCTTTGATCAACATCACATTAAAACACTTTTTCTTTCTCTCTTTTGCAGTTAAGGCATGCATACCTTAGGAGTTATTCTTCATCCACTTCTGCTACAAACTGTGAATGATGTTCTGGTGACTTGCTGTGTGTTTTGCTTAGATGAAGTTTGACAGCATGTTTGCTCACAAATGTCCGAGAGCACAACTTACATTTGAACTTAGAGTCTGTGTCCTCTTCTCCAGCTATTGTTTCAGGAGATCTTTGAACTGAAATTCTGGAAATGTCTTGCTCTACCTTGGTTTGCTGCTCCACAGCCAGCTTGTTCATGTCTTTCATTTGGAAACCTAGATGGGATTCTAAATGGCCGATGTATGTTGATGGGGTTCTAAACTGAGATGCACAGTCACTGCAATAAAAGATGGGGTGTCCCTTATCCATGTTTTTCAAAAACTTTGTCCCCCCAGTTTTTCTGAGCTGGTACTTGACATTCGCCAGCCAATGGCTGATGGTAGTCATGGACAACCCAGTAAACTTGGAAATCTGCATACGTTCTTGAGGGCCCAGATCTGACAATAAATATTTACCCTCCGACGTTTGGAAGAGACTGGATGCAAACTGGGCCTGCAGGATCAGGAGATGCTGAGGATTCCAGTTGGACTGCCTTCCTTTTCTTTTATGCAAAGTGGAGACTTCGGTTGAGACATCTTCGAAACGCCGAACATCCATTTCCAGTTTCATTGATGGGATTCTGGAGGATACAGCAGGTTTTGGAGTTGTTGCTTTGGGAAGGACTTTGACCATGTCTGCAATGTCAGACAGAGCATGCTTCTGAGGTGGGGAAGTACAAGACTGAGCCTGGACAGATTCCCCTTTCTTATGCTTTGATTTTGTCAGGTCAATTGGTTGATCGTTGCTCTCAAACACATAATGCCTCGATGTAACTTTAGCAGGTTTTGCTGGCGTTGACACAGGAGACAGAACAGGCTTCTCTTTTATATTTAAATTTGGTTTGTGGAACAAAGACGTTGAACTTGAATTGGGGCTGGAGTTTGACTGAGGTCGCAAAGGCTCATTTGCTTTGCCCAAATGGTTGTTCAGCACAGACTGCAGGGCACTGAGTGGATTTAAACCAGGCAGCTCTGAAGTGTGGTTCCCAGTAGGGCATCCATTGCTGAGAGATGATGACACAGAATCCTTTGTTTTTATTTTTTCCTCCTCTTCTTTTGTCTTGTATTCCTCCTTCAAAGGACTTAGCTCTGACTTTTTTGACTCTACACACATCTCAGCCTGAGGAGGAGAGTCTCCTTCATTCTGATATGGAGGAATCATGTCTGTCTTGTTGCCATCTTTAATGTAGTCCTTATGAGCTTCCTTCTTGGGGTCTCCTTCTTTTTTCAACTGGCTGCACTGGACTAGATTAGCTGTCATGGGTACTATAGGCATCACTTTCCATTTTGGAGCAATAGGCCTCAGTTTATTACTAACTGTTGGTCGAACTTGCAAAACTTGGGATCCCACCGGTAAGGAAGGCTTTGTTCCCTCAGAGAGCTGGTATGCTGCATGGATGCTGGGATACGCACTCCAGCTGGGTGCTCCATTCTGAGCTTTATTGATGGCTGTGGTGACAGTGTTTTCCAAAGACTTCAAAATGTCTCCACCACCTTTTGAAGCATCTTCTAAATCTTCCTCCCGGAGATACTGATATTTCATTGTTGGGTCCAGTGGTTTTTGAAGAACATCTTCATAGTCTTCATTTTTTATCACTTTTTCATCTTTGTTTGCTTCCTCAGATTTATTTTGCTTACTTTCCTTTTTTAGCTCTGAAGCCGGAGCTGTAGAATCAGTTGATGAATTACTGGAGGGTTTCGAATGCTGGCTGTCAGTGGCTGACGCATCAGAAAGCGACTGCATTTTTTCCACAGCCAAGGGATCCAAAACAAGTTGTTTCCCTTTCTTGGAAGCTGAGCTCGTGACTTTCAAGAAGTGACCTGTGACCATCATGTGGGTTGTGAGTTGCTGCAAAGTATCGTGGGAGCTCCCGCATTCCATGCACTTGAGAATCTGTGATTTGCAAGCTTCAAACTGCCACGTATAGCTGGCACCATTCTGGTAGCCATAACGATTGTTAGATGATAGCTGAAGATTGGCATTCTTATGAGAAGAAAATGTGTCGGCAAACGATCCAGTGGTCGAATCTGGAGAGCAAGGCCTATTAATGTCGAACACACGTTTCTTATTTGGAGTTACCATCTTGGAAGATATGGTAGGTACCGGCTCCTTCAAAGGCACTTTTTGGTAATGTTTTGTTTTGATCATATGAACACTTAGGTCTTGAAGAGAGTCAAAAGAGTCACCACAGAACATACATTTCAGAACTTTCTGAGCATCTTCTTTATCCATGTCCTGAAAGGCCCTTTTCCGGGGCTTGGAATAGCTGGTAGATCTGTGCTTGTCTTTTTTATGGTTGTCATCTTGGTAATGGCCACTTTCGTTCATATGGACAGTAAGCTCCACTAAGGTATCATAGGCAGCACTGCACTGCCTACACCGAAACCTGCTAGCACCTGTGAATACAGTTCCACACATTTTGCTGCTTTGCCTGTACAGCTGGACTGAGCTGAAAAGGTTCGGCTTGGAGAGTGGCCGGACTGGTAAACTCTGCTGCAAGCTTTTGGTCAAGGCATCCTGATGCCAATCAAAGTCACTTTTGCTTGCTCCATTTCTATTATCACATCCCCTCTTATCAGAACTGGACAACTTGAGCCCCAGTCCCAAGCCTGTCCAGTAAGAATCTGAAAGAATATTAGCATAGACAGCTGTCATTTTATCCATGCAGCTATGTGCTTCTGTTGGATGTTTGGGATGGATATTGCCTTTGGAGTCTGATGTCTCCTTGGAGCAGAGGCTTTTAATGTCTGCCACCTGGTCGCTAGCATCACTGAGCAAGGATTCGTTTTCTGCATCCTGATTGGAGACATGACTCCCTGGGGAATTCTGGTAGCTGAAGCTTCCTTTTGGATCAGGGCCCACCTCATGTTCTTCATCTGTTCCAGGGTCGTTGCTACCCTGAAGATGAGCCGTTGAATTGCTCTCATCATCATCCTCTTCCTCTTCTTTTATGTCTTCCTCATCTTTCAGATCATCTTCTTGGACGTAACCTGAAAAGGAATATAAACATCTGTGAAATAGGTCAAATAAAAACAATGAACATTCATTTTTCTAGTTGCTTCCCCTACTAGAGTTTGCTTAATCTTCTATTTTTATGGACTGTTAGCACAAGATGTGAAAAATCCGGCAAGACTACTTGGTTTTATTAGCAGATAATCATTATTCTTTATATCTTATAGACATTTGGAGTTAATAATAGTAGTCAAATTTTAACCACCTCTTAATGGAACAGTCAGAAAAATTAATATCTGAGATCCTATTAAGCCCATTAAAATTACATGATCATATGGATATTAGCTCACTTGAGAAAATTTCAGCTGGCCAAATAAAGTATTCCTGCTTCTAAGTCGTATTTTCAGGTACAACAATGTTATCAATATGATAGCCATTCAGAATGCTTGAAATGACAGAACAAATGACTGCTATACAGAATTGTACACAATAAACCCATTTGGTAAATTACTGTTTTTTTCATAAGAATGTACTCAAAACTTTTTTAAATAAAAAAAATCTTTTCAATGAAAAGGTATTTTTCTGCATAGCTTCTACTCTGAAAATTTTGTATGATCTAATAGTTTATCCCTAAATTGTAAAACATATTCCAATGTGCTTCATTCTCATATGAATACTATACGATTTTCATTCAGCTTATAAAGGATAAAATTGTTATAATTCTGTATCTCATCCTGAATGGAGATGGCCATGGGTTCATCAAATAATCATGGAATTTGAATAAATGATGGTAATTGCATGGAAAATTAGATGGAAATCCCTCTATGAATTTAGCTGTATATGTCACATATGGATCTGCTGAATATTGGGTTAAATCCATCTTATCTTAGTTGCACATAGTTCACACTGAAATCAATGGGGCATTAGTTAAATCATCATTACTTTGGTCCATTAATTTCAGTGGGTCTCAAATTAAACTAATTTAATCTGGATTCAGTCCACAGAGTCAAACTGCTGTGTCAAACTCAATACTGCCAATTTTAAATGGCTATCATGTTCTAGCAATTTCTATTTGGGACTTGTTAAGATTAGAATAAACTGAAATCCCGCTCTGCCAATACAATCTGCCCAATTTTAACTATTAGAAGCTATCCTACTATCCTCAAAGCATGAGTTAGGAAATTAGCTTGTTAACTTGTCAGGCTAATTTTATCTGTAATTTCAGCTTCATCATTAGACTAATCTAAAATTTTACCAAAATTAAGACTGTTTTTATTACTTGGGATGGTTCCTGAGATATTACTTTAAGTTGATCTAAAATCTAACTCATCTCCTTTACTTTTATGAAAACTTCAATTGAGCCTAAAATTTCCCTTCCTAAGTAAGGCATTTGTTAAGTGAATTTTGCCCCATTTTATGACCTTTCTTGCCACAGTTGTTAAGTGAATTACTGCAGCTGTTAAGCTGGTAACATGGTACTTAAGCGAATCTGGCTTCCTTATTGATTTTGTTTGTCAGAAGGTCACAAAAGGGGATCCCATGATCCTGGGACACTGTGACCATCATAAATATGAGCCTGTTTCCAAGTATCTGAATTTTGATCATCGGACCATGGGAATGCTACAATGGTTGTAACTGTGAAAAAAACAGTCATAAGTCATTTTTTTCAGTGCTATTGTAATTTCGAACAGTGACTAAATGAACTGTTGTAAATTGAGGACTACCTATAGGTACATTTCTCTTGTGTTTTGTACTATTCTTTCCTCATGGTTTTTTTTTATGTTCTCTTAAGTGAACCAGTTAAAAAAAAGTAAATATAATAGCCAATGTTAACTACTGCTTCACAATACAGGGGAAAAAGAAAACCCTTTTTAACTAGGTTTTGACATGTGTTCTATAACCTTTACAAAGGTAGTACTGAGAGATTTGTTGTTTTTAAAACTCCTTGTGTGTTAGCAATGAACACACAACATGAACTAAAGATTGGAAGGCTCCATCAAAAATTCCATCAAACAACTGAATTCCATCAAACTTGTCCTGAAGGCAGGACAAGAAGCAACGGGTGGAAACTAATCAAGAAGAGAAGCAACCTAGAACTAAGGAGAAACTTCCAGACAGTGAGAACAATTAATCAGTGGAACAACCTGCCTCCAGAAGCAGTAAATGCTCCAACACTGGAAGTTTTTAAGAAAGAGACTGGACAGCCATTTGTCCGAAATGGTATAGGGTTTCCTGCCTGAGCAGGGGGTTGGACTAGATGACCCCCAAGGTCCCTTCCAACTTTACTATTATTATTATTAGATTAGAATGCAACTAATTTTTTGCTTTATAAAAGAAGGAAGGAAGGAAGGAAGGAAGGAAGGAAGGAAGGAAGGAAGGAAGGAAGGAAGGAAGGAAGGAAGGAAGGAAGGAAGGAAATACCTGATTGTATATTTACATATATATTTTAAGGCACTCTTCCCCCCCCCCAAAAAAAAAATATTCATTTGCTTTGGTATTTTAAGGCAGCCTTTAAAATACAGATGCTCACAGTAGTTAATGAATGTGCAGAGAGCCCTCCAAATGATTTCCTTAAGGTTCTACCATATGGAAATTGTCACATAAATTGAAATGCAGGAGATTAATTCATCAGAACGCTTGATTAGTAAAAGAGCTTCTGATAAAACAACTTTCATCTTTCTTTTTTAAAAAAAAAACATAGTTGCAACCCTTTCAGTACACAAATTAAGGCCATTTTGTGCAATCAGTTTATTCATACAAAATATATTTCTTGAGCAAGGACAATCTAGATATAGAAAAACACTTTCCAATATTGGGGTCATTCTTTACAAAATGCTAGTTGCCCTTTGACATTCCAGAACATTTAAAAGGTTTCATCGTGAAAGCTTGCTCAATCCTAGGCAATGCTGTGTTAAAAATATTGTGTTAAAAAAAGTAGACCATAGCATGTTTTGTAAGGAGATACGAGACATCTATAAATACCATATTTAATTTCACAATAGAAAACCAAATATACCATATGAATCAAGCAGTATCTCAATATCACTGAGATCATTGATCCATTATTTTTAATTCAAGAGGTCAGCTACTCTGTTTTCCAATTCTACAAAGATTCTTATGTTTGGATATGCTGTAATCTGGTTTAAGTGTCTCCAATGGAGTAGTATGGCTAAACTCCAAAATGTGGATTGTGCCAGTCCAAAGAAGGGGATGATATATCACAGTTCCTTAACGTAGTACCAGTCAACTTTATGGCAGCAGGTTTTAAAACAAATTAACATCCATGAATGCTACTCAAGGGCAAACCAAAGGTAAATGCTGATTTATCTTGTTGGTGGAGATTCTCAGTCATTCAGATCATAGTTGTCTCAAAGGTACTTTTTTCTTCAAAAGGCAGCTGGACTGTATTTTTCCTTGAGGAACAAGAAAGAAAATGTTTCGCTTCTCATCCAAGAAGCTTCATCATATTCTGAATCAGAACTGATGAAGCTTCTGGAGGAGAAGCGAAATGTTTTCTTCTTCTTCCTCAAGGAAAAAAAAAACAGTCCAGTTGCTTTTTGAAGAAAAAAGCAGCTTTAAGACCAATTTACCTTGGATATCAGCACTGCGTTTATGACATAACTTAATCTAAACTGCACTGTAAAATAAAAAATGTTCCCTCTCCCTATTGCTCTCTCTGACCCTAGTAATATATTTTGTCAGTATATGCAGTCCTCGACTTACAGCCATTCATTTGGTGACCATATGAAGTTAGGACAACCCTGAGAAAAGTAACTTATGACTGGTTCTCACACTTAAGACTGCCTGAAATCACATGTTCAAAATCTGGACCCTTGGCCACTGGCATGGATTGATAATGGTTGCAGTATCCCAGGTTCATAGGATTGCCATTTGTAACCTTGCCAGGCAGCTTCCAACAAGCAAAGACAATGGGCGAAGCCGGATTAATTTAATAGCAATAGCACCTAGACTTATATACCACCCCATAGTGCTTTACAACACTCTCTAAGCAGTTTACAGAGTCAGCCTATTGCCCCCAACAATCTGGGTCCTCATTTTATTGACCTTGGAAGGATAGAAGGCTGAGTCAACCTTGAGCTGGTCATAACTGAACTGCCAAACTGCTGGCAGCCGTCAGTCAGCAGAAGTAGCCTGCATTACTGTATTCTAACCATTGCACCACCACAGCTTTAATGACTGTGTGCTTCACTTAATGACCATGATGATTTATTGACCATGGCAAAAAGGTCATAAAACCAGGCATAACTTATTTAACAACTGCCTCACTTAGCAACAGAAGTTCTGATCCTGACTGTGGTCATAACTTGAGGACTATATAGTGAGGCTGCAGAAATACCCCTAGTGCAGCAGTCCACAACCTTGATGGCTTTACAGCCCGGCTGGGGTGGTGGTGGAGGAGAGGGGAACCAGGCCGTGTGAATGGCAGGCTGGCGTGTGCATATCCACACATGCAGCTCTTGCGCAAGTGGCAGGCCAGTGTGCATGTGCACATGTTAACTTGCGTGAGCTCATGTAAGTTGAGCTGCATCTGTGCACACGCATGCTCTGGCCAGCCACTCACGTGGCCCAATTCCGAATAGGTAATGGCCTGGTAATTGGCCATGGGGACCCCTGCCCTAATTTGGTCTACTTGTTAAGACACCAGGCTAGAAACCAGGAAACTGGCCAGTCACTCTCTCTCAGCCCAATTCGCCTCACTGGTTTGTTATTATGGGAAAAGAGGAGGAGGAAGGAGTACTAGGTAAGTTTGCTACCTTAACTTATTTATAAAATAAAATAAAATAAAGACAAGATAAAAAAATAAACAGTCCAATTAACAGCAACATATCTGAACTTGAAGAGTTGTGTAGTTAAGCTAAACAAGTTGGTTGAACTAAATTACATAGTGTTTCATCAATAATTTTAGTAAGGCCTATATTTTTTTTCAAAAAAAGCATGCATTTCTTCATTGGGCTTTCAATTAGTATTTTCAGTACGACAAACATTGTTTTTCTATATAGTGTATAGCAGGAAAGAG